TTTCTAAACCCAACTTTGCATGTTTGAATATTGTAGATTTGAAGATTAGAATTTAAAAAGTTGTATCTCAAGAACGAATTGAGACATTAAGATGAAACAAAGACCATTTTAAAGCTAATTTTATGAGTATTCAATGTGCCATAAATAATTTTTTATTTCCCATAAACATGGTTGTTATGACTTTTTAAATCCAACTTTGCATGTTTGATTATTGTAGATTTGACGAATAGAATTAAAAAAGTTGTATCTCAAGAACAAATTGAGATATTAAGATGAAACAGAGAATATTTTAAAGCTAATTTTATGAATATTCAATGTGCCATAAATAATTTCTTATATTATTGATTGTAAAAAAATTTTTACTTTATAAATATACTCAAATTCAGAATTTATATCTTAAGAACAAATTGAGATATTCATGTGCGGTTTTGTTTACGAAAATGTACGTACTTTCGTCTATAAGATGGGAATATTTCATATAGATATCTTAAGAATTCGATTTTTTACGATTTTTTTTTAAATAATGAGAATTATTTTTTTTACTACATAATTGAGGTTGAGTTCAAAAACTATTATCTCAAGAACTAATTGAGATATTCAAGTGCGGTTTCGTTCGCGTAAAAGTATGTACTTTCCTCTATAAGATGGGAATGTTTCATATAGATATCTTAAGAATTCGATTTTTTACGATTTCTTTTTTAAATAATGTGAAATTTTTTTTTACTACATAATTGAGGTTGAGTTCAAAAACTATTATCTCAAGAAAGAGTTGAGATATTCAAGAACGGTTTTGTTCGCATAAAAGTACATACTTTTTTCTATATAGTGAGAATGTTTCATGNTCTAAAATGGCTAAATGTTATCAGAGCAAATCTATATGAATCAAAGAAATTGTATAACTTTATAATTGATTGTAGTAGATTTGACGAATAGAATCAAAAAGTTGTATCTCAAGAACGAATTGAGACATTAAGATGAAACAAAGAACATTTTAAAGCTAATTTTATGAGTATTCAATCTGCCATAAATAATTTGTTATATCCCACAAACATGGTTGTTATGATTTTTTAAATCCACATAAGCATGTTTGATTATTGTAGATTTGACGAATAGAATTAAAAAAGTTGTATCTCAAGAACGAATTGAGATATTTAGATGAAACAAAGAACATTTTAAAGCTAATTTTATGAGTATTCAATGTGCCATAAATAATTTTTTATTTCCCACAAACATGGTTGTTATGACTTTTTAAACCCAACTTTGGATGTTTGATTATTGTAGATTTGACGAATAGAATTAAAAAAGTTGTATTTCAAGAACGAATTGAGATATTAAGATAAAACAAAGAACATTTTAAAGCTAATTTTATGAATATTCAATGTGCCATAAATAATTTTTTATTTCCCACAAACATGGTTGCTATGATGTTTTGAACCCAACTCTGCATGCTTGATTATTGCAGATTTGACGAATAGCGATTAAAAAGCTGTATCTCAAGAACGAATTGAGATATTAAGATGAAACAAAGAACATTTTAAAGCTAATTTTATGAGTACTCAATGTGCCATAAATAATTTCTTGTTTCCCACAAACACGGTTGTTATGATTTTTTGAACCCAACTCTGCATGTTTGATTATGGTAGATTTGACGAATAGAGTTTAAAAAGCTGTATCTCAAGAACGAATTGAGATATTAAGATGAAACAAAGAACATTTTAAAGCTAATTTTATGAGTATTCAATGTGCCATAAATAATTTCTTATTTCCCACAAACATGGTAGTTATGATTTTCTAAACCCAACTTTGCATGTTTGAGTATTGTAGATTTGAAGATAAGAATTTAAAAAGTTGTATCTCAAGAATGAATGGAGATATAAAGATGAAACAAAGAACATTTTAAAGTTAATTTTATGAGTATTCAATGTGCCATAACTAATTTCTTATTTATGGCACATTGAATTATTCATTATTCATATTATTAATTGTAAAAAATTTTTTACTTAATAAATATACTCAAATTCAGAATGTATTATCTCAAGAACGAATTGAGATGTTCAAGTGCGGTTTCGTTCACGTAAAAGTACGTATTTTTCTCTATAAGATGGGAACGTTTCATATAGATATCTTAAGAATTCGATTTTTACGACTTTTTTTAAATAATGTGAAAATTTTTTTTATTACATAATTGAGGTTGAGTTTAAAAACTATTATCTCAAGAACGAGTTGAGATATTCAAGTGCGGTTTTGTTCGCGAAAAAGTACGTACTTTCTTCTATATAGTGAGAATGTTTCATGAAGATATCTTAAGAATCCGATTTTTTGCGATTTTTTAAAAACGGTTGTAAACAATTTTTTACTTCATAAATATACTGAAATTCAGAATGTATTATCTCAAGAACGAATTGAGATATTCAAGTGCGGGTTCGTTCACGTAAAAGTACGCACTTTCCTCTATAACATGGGAATGTTTCATGTAGATATCTTAAGAATTCGATTTTTACGATTTTTTTTTAAATAATGTGAACATTTTTTTGATTATATAATTGAGGTTGAGTTCAAAAACTATTATCTCAAGAACGAGTTGAGATATTCAAGTACGGTTTTGTTCGCGAAAAAGTACGTACTTTCTTCTATATAGTAAGAATGTTTCATGAAGATATCATAAGAATCTGATTTTTTGCAATTATTTAAAGACGACTGTCAAAAATTTTTTACTTCATAAAGATACTGAAATTCAGAATTTATTATCTCAAGAACGAATTGAGATATTGAAGTGCGGTTTCGTTCACATAAAAGTACGTACTTTCCTCTATAAGATGGGAATGTTTCATATAGATATCTTAAGAATTCGATTTTTTACGATTTTTTTTTAAATAATGTGAAATTTTTTTTTACTACAAATTGAAGTTGAGTTCAAAAACTATTATCTCAAGAACGAGTTGAGATATTCAAGTGCGGTTTTATTCGCGAAAAAGTACGTACTTTCTTCTATATAGTGAGAATGTTTCATGAAGATATCTTAAGAATCTGATTTTTTGCAATTATTTAAATACGATTGTGAAAAAATTTTTACTTCATAAAGATACTGAAATTCAGAATTTATTATCTCAAGGACGAATTGAGATATTCAAGTGCGGCTTCGTTGACGTAAAAGTACGTACTTTCCTCTATAAGATGGGAATGTTTCATATAGATATCTTAAGAATTCGATTTTTTATTATTTTTTTTTAAATAATGAGAAATTCTTTTTTACTACATAATTGAGGTTGAGTCCAAAAAGTATTATCTCAAGAACGAGTTGAGATATTCAAGTACGGTTTTGTTCACGAAAAAGTACGTACTTTCTTCTATATAGTGAGAATGTTTCATGAAGATATCTTAAGAATTCGATTTTTTAAAGATTATAAAAAATTAACAGAATATTTTAAAGCTAATTTTATCAGTATTCAATGTGCTATAAACAATTTTTTATTTCCCACAAACTTAGTTGTTATGATTTTTTTTCAACTGCAGCCTGTTAAATCTTGATGAGATGCAACGTATTAGTCAGCTATGACGAAGAATTCCCCATGCATATCCTATAATTTCTAGAGTTTTGCCTATCATCCACCTATTAATGCTGAAATCAGATGAGAGGTGAGAGGTATCAGAGAGTTTTATGAAAATAAAGAAGAAGCAGCCATGCGATTGCAGTTATCATCAGAACCGACTTTATCACACCACCACCCACAATAGGAACTTGTCCAAAGAATCAAGAAACTACGCAAATGGCAAAATTTGAAAAGGGAAAAGTAACTTTTAAAGCACTTACTTCAAAGGAATGGTCCAACGGGCTAACTACGATAAGAAGTAATTAGTCAACCTGTTGGTTTTATCTGACTTTACTTTGTTTCAAATTTGGCGGAACTAATAGCCAGACTACCGAGGAAGGACAACATTATGGCAAAACATGGGGTAATCAGCAAACTGGAACGCATGGCCGATAGCATAGGGTAAATATCCTGCGTTGAAAGGATTAGGAGTCTACAGACTATCGTGCAAGCATATGAAAGAAAGAGTATCAAAGCTGCATTTAGAAGAAGAAAATTGGAAGTAGAAAACTGAATAAAAAATGTTGTGTCCAATTTTTGCAAAAATGTAATGTAGGAAGAACAATTCCACTGTAGAATTTTAGAACGGTGAAAGTACAATAGTCTTTTTTGACTTGGCATTTTATGTTCCATGTTCTTTGCTGACTTTAAAGTTACTTGTTAAACACGCCGCAAATTCTGCATTAAGAATTTCTGGGTTTTTTATTTAATTGAAGAAGTTTTTGTACTTTATTTTGCTTCACAACAACGTTGGCATTTATTTAAAAATGAATAATATTGTAACCAATTTTTTAGCCTTGAACATTTTTGCGATTCATCAAAACATTTTGCACACTAATTTTAATATCAGTTAAAACTTAAATAATTATTTAAAATCATTCAGTATCAATAAATAAGAAAACTTGATGAGTTGTTGAATAATATTTTAATGCATTAAATAACTTTTTTTTGGCAACCTATTTACTACTCAAGTCCAGATGCAATCTCACAACACTTTCGCTTTTTGTTTATATTTGAACGGCGCGGAGCGTTTTAGATCAATGAAACCCACACGAAAATTTTCCTTGAGTCTTAAATCCTCTCGAAATCGAAAACGTATATTCCCTTCTAAAAACAACCCGAGACGGTCGGTTTATTTTCAAATCCGGTGATTAATCGCCACCTTTTCCTGTGCGAATTTTATTTATTTTTTTGCTCAAATTCCACACACGAAATTCTTGTCTAAAAAAAAAAGAGGTTGAAATTGAAAAATTCGTAAATTTGGATTAAAAGATGAAAGTTTGAAAGAGAAGTCGTGCCAAAAATATTTGGTTGATATGTGTGGAATTCGAAGGAGAATCATTGGAATGCGTTCAGAGTTGGGCGCTTGCGCTTAATTCGCCAGCAGGTAAACACAAAACTTTGCAAGTTAGTCGAGGAATTCTTAGACGTTCAGAACGACGCTGAGCGTCGAGTACAGCACATTGTTATTCGTTTTTGAAATAATATTAAGAAATTAAGATGCGTTGTTGGAAAACTAAAGAAAATAAAGAGGAAAGTGAGGAAAAGAAAATTGATGAAATTAAAATGATTAAGGATGACGATGAAAAAATTAATACCATACAAGGAATTTTCGAAGACAGTGTTGTTTTAGAAGATGCAAATGAACGGTAATAAATTTTGAGACAATTTTAATTTGAATTAGCTAATTACTTTGGTTTAATTAGAGCAATTTTTGTAACAAAATCTCCACTTTTTTGTTGCGTTTCTCACATAACGGATCACCTGTTATTATCATCGGCTACAGCAGCTGATCCATCAGCGCTGGAGTATTTCAAAATAACCTGCGTGATGAACGCTGCTGCTGAATTACCGGATACCCCGATGAGAAATCCATCAACGAAATACTTTAAAATATCAATATACGATAATACAACAGCAGATATTCTTTCACACTTGGATTATACATCGGATACAATACACAAGGTAATAATAAACGCTTTCTTATTATTATTAATTAATTCTACATAATCTAAGGCACTCCTTATAGTTTGTGTCCTTGACGCTTACATTCTTTGAATTAATAATACAGTAAAACATCGATATAATAGATTAATACTGGCATAATTAGCTTTAAAATGTTCTTTGTTTCATCTTAATATCTCAATTCGTTCTTGAGATACAACTTTTCAAATTCTATTCGTCAAAGCTTCACTAATCAAACATGCAGAGTTGGTTTTAAAAAATCATAACAACCATGTTTGTGGGAAATAAGAAATTATTTATGGCACATTGAATACCCATAAAATTAGCTTTAAAACGATCTTTGTTTCATCTTTATATCTCAATTCCTTCTTAAGATACAACTTTTTTAATCCTATTCGTCAAATTTACAATAATCAAACATGTGGAGTTGGGTTTAAAAAATCATAACAACCATGTTTGTGGGAAATAAGATATTATTTATGGCACATTGAATACTCATAAAATTAGCTTTAATTTGTTCTCTGTTTCATCTTAATATCTCAATTCGTTCTTGAGATACACCTGTTTAAATTCTATTTTTCAAATCTTCAATAATCAAAGATGTAGAGTTGGGTTCAAAAAGTCATAACAACCGTGTTTATGGGAAATAAGAAATTATTTATGGCACATTGAATACTCATAAAATTAGCTTTAAAATGTTCTTTGTTTCATCTTAATATCTCAATTCGTTATTGAGATACAACTTTTTAAATTCAATTCGTTAAATCAACAATAATCAAACAAACAGGGTTGGGTTGAAAAAATCATAACAACCATGTTTGTGAAAAATAAGAAATTATTTATGGCACACTGAATATTTATAAAATTAGCTTTAAAATGTTCTTTGTTTCATCTTTATATCTCAATTCCTTCTTGAGATACAACTTTTTAAATTCTATTGTTCAAATCTTCAATAATCAAACATGCGCAGTTGGGTTTAAAAAATCGTAACAACCATGTTTGTAGGAAATAAGAAATTATTTATGGTACATTGAATACTCATAAAATTAGCTTTAAAATGTTCTTTGTTTCATCTTTATATCTCAATTCGTTCTTGAGATACAACTTTTCAAATCCTATTCTTCAAATTTACAATAATCAAACATGTAGAGTTGGGTTTAAAAAATTATAACAACCATATTTATGGGAAATAAGAAATTATTTATGGTACATTGAATACTCATAAAATTAGCTTTAATTTGTTCTCTGTTTCATCTTAATATCTCAATTCGCTCTTGAGATATAACTGTTTAAATTCTAGTCGTCAAATCTACAATCCTCAAACACGCAGAGTTGGGTTTAAAAAATCATAATAACCGTGTTTGTGGGAAACATGAAATTATTTATGGCACATTGAGTACTTATAAAATTAGCTTTAAAATGTTCGTGGTTTCATCTTAATATCTCAATTAGTTCTTGAGATACAACCTTTTAAAATCTATTTGTCAAGTCTACAATAATCAAATATGCAGAGTTGGGTTTAAAATATCACAACAATCATGTTTGTGCAAAATAAGAAACTATTTATGGCACATTGAATACTCATAAAATTAGCTTTAAAATGTTCTTTGTTTCATCTTAATATCTCAATTCGTTATTGAGATACAACTGTTTAAATTCTATTCGTTAAATCAACAATAATCAAACAAACAGGGTTGGGTTGAAAAAATCATAACAACCATGTTTGTGAAAAATAAGAAATTATTTATGGCACACTGAATATTTATAAAATTAGCTTTAAAATGTTCTTTGTTTCATCTTTATATCTCAATTCGTTCTCGAGATACAACTTTTTAAATCCTATTCTTCAAATTTACAATAATCAAACATGCAGAGTTGGGTTTAAAAAATCATAACAACCATATTTGTGGGAAACAAGAAATTATTTATGGCACATTGAATACTCATAAAATTAGCTTTAAAATGTTCTGTGTTTCATCTTAATATCTCAAATAATTCTTGAGATACAACCTTTTAAATTCTATTCGTCAAATCTATAATAATCAAAAATGCGGAGTTGGGTTTAAAAAATCATAACAACCACGTTTGTGGGAAATAAGAAATTATTTATTGCAAATTGAATACTTACAAAGTTACCTTTAAAATGTTCTTCGTTTCATCTTTATATCTCAATTCGTTCTTGAGATACAACTTTTTAAATCCTATTCTTCAAATTTACAATAATCAAACATGCAGAGTTGGGTTTAAAAAATCATAACAACCGTGTTTGTGGGAAATAATAAATTATTTATGGCACATTGAATACTCATCAAATTAGCTTTAAAATGTTTTTTGTTTCATCTTTCTATCTCCATTCGTTCTTGAGATACAACTTTTTAAATTATATTCGTCAAATCTACAATACTCAAACATATAGTGTTATTTGAAAATTTGAAAAAGTTCATATCGCAAAGGCCAAGTAGTAATGTTTGGGAAGTTGAAATTAAACTCTTAAAGGCTCTGTTTGTTTATATTAAATGTACTTGGTACCGGTTTCGATCAACTAATAATGATCATCATCAGCCAAATCTACAAATGCGTACAAATTTACGAGATATAAATAAAATTACAAACATCTAGAGAAGAAACAATGATGCTAAAATTACTTACAGTCAAAGTTGAAGAAAATCGATAATTATCCTAGAAGTATGTATAATAAGTTAAGAGATGTTAATACAATTTAAAAACACATACATTTGTATAAATAATATAATGTTAGGTTTAAAAATTCGTAACAACCGTGTTTGTGGGAAATAAGAAATTATTTATGGCACATTGAATACTCATAAAATTAACTTTAATTTGTTCTTTGTTTCATCTTCATATCTCAATTCGTTCTTGAGATACGACTGTTTAAATTTTATTCTTCATATCTTCAATAATGAAAGATTTAGAGTTGGGTTCAAAAATTCATAACAACCGTGTTTGTGGGAAATAAGAAATTATTTATGGCACATTGAATACTCGTAAAATTAGCTTTAATTTGTTCTCTGTTTTATCTTAATATCTCAATTCGTTCTTGAGATACAACTGTTTAAATTCTAGTCGACAAATCTACAATTATCAAACATGCAAACTTGGGTTTAAAAAATTATAACAACCATGTTTATTGGAAACAAGAAATTGTTTATTAAAATGTTCTTTGTTCCATCTTTATATCTCAACTCGTTCTTGAGACACAACTTTTTGAATTCTATTGTTGATATCTATAATAATTAAACATGCGGAGATGGGTTTAAAAAATCATAACAACCCTGTTTATGGGAAATAAGAAATTATTTATGGCACATTGAATACTCATAAAATTAGCTTTAAAATGTTTATTGTTTCAGCTTAATATCTCAATTCGTTCTTGAGATACAATTTTTTAAATTCTATTCGTCAAATCTACAATAATTAAACATGCAGAGTTGGATTTAAATAATCATAACAACCATACTTAACTATTCTTTAATAAAGAATCTAGATAAATAGCTGCTAAAAATAGGTTGCATGTTAGATTAAAATTAGAGATAAATGTTTGGCGCTAAATAACAACGTATATTGTTGATTTTCTGCCACATTGAGTCACGAAACCAGTTGTTGTTAATTGTAGTTGACACGCAAAGGTCTAAAAGTTAATTCGGTCGGGTTCAAAAAATCAATCTCGAAGAGAATCGAAACTTACTTATTATTTCTTTTGCGTCTTAATTTTTAAAAAATATTGTAACTAAACACTATTATAAAAAATCACTCTGCGTTAAATTCCTCGCATGACTTATTTTCTTCCACTTATTAAGTAACAATAAAATTATACCGAGAAATTACGCCTCAAATTTGCAGAAAAAAACAGCATTAAAGGAAAAAATCCATCATAAAATATTAAAAAGGTAATAATAAACGACTTAAATATTAATATCACCTGATTACGCATTTGGCAAATTTTGAGAGAAAAAAACATTGCAGTTTCTTGCCAAAAACTTTTCTCACCTGTAACTAAAAATAAGTTGTTTTAAATTAAAAAATCTAAAAAAAATAAAATAACAGACTCAAAAAAAAACATAAACAAGACTAAAAAAGTTATGTTATTCTTAGATTTGTTAATCGCCCGTGTGCGAGGTTTTAATAACACACGTATACATTCTATTGCCAGGTCGGGAGGGCCCAAAAATACACAAAATGATTCACTTAGAAACAATTACAAAAAAAAGGAGATTCTTTTTTTAAAGAAATGGTTTTGGAGGAAAAAATAGATTCGTTTAAAAAAATAGCTCGACCTACCGCACTTAAATCGATCTTAAACAAGGTCGACCTATTTAAAAAACAAATTTTTTTTAATAAATATTTTCGATAAGTTTCATTTTTGGGCGAGCAATTCTCGTTTGATTATCGAATCCGTGACTCACATTAACTTGTCGGTTTCTATTTCTGTTATAAACCATGAGGTCGAATTCGCTTTTCGTTTGCAGTGCATTCATCCGATTTTAAAACCACTTTAAATTCTTTGGAAAATAAACGATTTACTTCCCCACTTTCAACTAACATTTAAAAGCTTACAAAATAGATTTCGAAATTGTTTATTTCTTTTTGTTAAATTCCATAAACAATCTATTTCTGAATATATTTATCATTTTTAATTTATTTTCTTTTTCAGGAATCCGTAAATAATGGGCGAGTTTTGGTTCATTGCGTTGCAGGAATAAGTCGCTCAGCAACAATATGCATAGCTTATTTAATGAAATATCAAAATAAAAATCTTTTGGAAGCTTATAAACTTGTTAAAGCACGTAGGCCGATTATAAAACCAAATTGCGGCTTTTTTCGCCAACTTATTGCTTATGAAAAATCACTTTTTGGTACAAATACTGTTAAAATGGTTTATAATGATACAGTTAAAATGGAAATTCCCGATGTTTATAATGATGATTATAAAAATATTTTGCACTTTAGAAGAAAACGAACGAATGATATGGTTCGAAGACATTAAATTAAAAATTTAATTATTCTTACAAATATTTATTGTGTTAAAAAGTTTTTAAGGCCATTATCAAAAGGTTTTTCTTGAAAGCTTTATTTTTAAGATGTAAAATGGGACCAATTTGATTTAAGTTATTTTGTTGTTAATAATTTGTAAATTAAAAAATAAACATGTTTTAAATCTTTGTTTTGGGTTAATTTTTTGGTGTCGATTCCGAAAGGCTCTGAATCGTTTTGAATTGGTTGCGCAGAAGAATAAGTTGCGGCTAGCACAAAATAGGCCAGTTTTGGTTCAAGAGTGTTGAACCTTTCTGCGCATACATTTTGTATGTATTATGTATGCGGAGAATGGTTCAAAACTGTTTAAAACTATAGAACTCTTGAACCAAAACAAGCCTAAAGTAGAAATAAGACAACAAAACTCTAAATTGCTGTATAAAATTATACAGTTAAACTGTAGTTTAGCCATAGACATGAATTTGCACCTGCACAATTATTATTACTATTAGTGTATAAATTAAGTTTATTAGTAATAGAAAAAAAGAGATCTTGTGTATTGGGTTGCATATGTAAATGCTACATAAACTGTAACATCTAAATGTTAAGGGGCATCCATGTAAATTACCTTTAAGTATACACTCCTGACTGGAGTCCATTTAACAGTTTTAACAAAAATAAGGAAAAACTAATTGGTAGGAACGATTTGAGAAGAATGTATTTTGCGCACTTAGCTTAGGAATGAAGTTTAATGTAGACATCTTTGAAATAAGCTCTTTATGTACTAAAGAAGCATGTTCTGCATCTTTTGAAAAAAGGATTGCAAGATGTATTTCATTCGATTTGTTCTAATTCTAACCCAACCTTGTTAAGATAATGTAATTGAAATGCCTAAAACTTGAACTCTTCCAATTTCATTGTGGTCACATAGTAATTAATAATATACCCTTCATTATGTCCTTGCATAAAATAACGTTGTATAATAACTGAATTATACATTCTTTTGCTTGCTTATTGCTTATGGGAACGTTGTCTGTGCAGAAATCTTTTATAAAAATTGGACTTCTCTTGTGTTAAGCATTGTGCACTTTCTTAACTTTGTTGTTATGTCTTGCTTTCTATCGAGATAACCATCCATCTGTTGCTTTAAGTTCGTTGTGTTCAAGTAACCATTTATGTAAAGCTTCTTCAAGTTCTGCATCTTATTAGTATTAAAGTAATTGCAAAATTTTGCTCGTATTTCTGCTGTAATTTCTTTCTTTCTTTCTTGCTGTAATGATACAGTTTCTTCCTTGGAGTGGCTGTAGTGAGTGGTGGAACAGATATCCGGCAACTATCCGGTATCCAGCCTATCCGGCCATCTTCATCGATAACCTTCAAAATTCGCTATAAAATTAATTTCTTGAAGGATGCTTGTGGAAATATCACCAATTATTAATTAAAGTATCCTCTTTTTAATGCAACAAGCCGTTTTGAAAAATCGCTTTTAGTTTTTGAAAAATAAATTTTTGAAATGAACGACAATTTTTTCGAATTTTACAATTTTCGCCGATTGAGTTTTAAAAATTTGTATAAAATTCATTTCTTGGAGTATGAGTCTGAAAAATTCTCAAAGTGTTAATAAGAGTGTCCTCTTTAAAATGAATCAACCCGTTTTGAAAAATAACTTTTAGTTTTTGAGAAAACAATATTTGAAGTTTTAATAAAATTTTCGATGTTGTAATTTTCATCGATAACTTTTAAAATTCGCTATAAAATTCATTTGTTGAAGGATACTTGTGGAAATATCACCAATTATTAATTAAAGTATCCTCTTTTTAATGCAACAAGCCGTTTTGAAAAATCGCTCTTAGTTTTTGAGAAATAAATTTTTGAAATGAACGACAATTTTTTCAAATTTTGCAATTTTCGATGATTAAGTTTTAAAAATTCGTATAAAATCCATTTCTTGGAATATGAGTATGAAAATTTCCCAAAGTGTTAATAAAAGTGTCCTCTTTCCAATGAACCAACCCGTTTTGAAAAATAACTTTTAGTTTTTGAGAAAACAATATTTGAAGTTTTGATAAAATTTTCGATGTTGCAATTTTCATCGATAATTTTCAAAATTCGCTATAAAATTAATTTCTTGAAGGATCCTTGTGGAAATATCACCAATTATTAATTAAAGTATCCTCTTTTTAATGCAACAAGCCGTTTTGAAAAATCGCTTTTAGTTTTTGAGAAATAAATTTTTGAAATGAACGACAATTTTTTCGAATTTTGCAATTTTCACCGATTGAGTTTTAAAAATTCGTATAAAATCCATTTCTTGGAATATGAGTATGAAAACTTCCCAAAGTGTTAATAAAAGGGTCCTCTTTCCAATGAACCAGCCCGTTTTGAAAAATACCTTTTAGTTTTTGAGAAAACAATATTTGAAGTTTTGATAAAATTTTCGATGTTGTAATTTTCATCGATAACTTTTAAAATTCACTATAAAATTCATTTGTTGAAGGATACTTGTGGAAATATCACCAATTATTAATTAAAGTATACTCTTTTTAATGCAAAAAGCCGTTTTGAAAAATCGCTTTTAGTTCTTGAGAAATAAATATTTGAAATGATCGACAATTTTTTCGAATTTTGCAATTTTCGCCGATTAAGTTTCTAAAATTCGTATAAAATCTATTACTTGGAATATGAGTATGAAAAGCTCTCAAAGTGTTAATAATCGTGTCCTCTTTCCAATAAACCAACCTGTTTTGAAAAATAACTTTTAGTTTTTGAGAAAACAATATTTGAAGTTTTGATAAAATTTTCGATGTTGCAA